TCTCTGTGACTATATTTGTTTATCCCTTAGGGTTAAAAAGACGCGTCAGTTTGTTTATTTTATAAATTATAATTAAATCATACCTCGTTTCCACTGGAGCATTACAATATTTTTTTTATCCCATAAACCTTATTTAAAAATCAGAAAGATACGTACTGTAGTTTTAATGTACGGTTCAAATAAACTGTCACAAATGTTTAAAGTTCTTTTTTTATTATTATTACCTTGTAGTAATCTAATTTTACTACTGTCTAGTTTGATTCGTGGCGCAGATGCTAATTCTCCGTAGTGAGTATCTAATAAACGAGTTGTACACATTACCTACTTGTCTGTGCAATGGGAAATGGATATAAATGGATATAATTATTTTTACCGACCAAAAACAATTTCGAAAAAAGAAAAATCTAGCAAAAAATTTATCCCCTGCGCCAGTACTCTTTTTTTGTGAAAAAGACCTCAAATGCAATTATTAATAACGGTTTAATTAAATAACTTGAAATATATAGGTAAATGTCAAAAAATTGTTATTGGTTGCCATTGTAATACCGTGAAGTTGGTCAAAGTTGGTCGCTCAACAACTTTATAATGTCGTTTGTACCAATTTTATTTCTCATATTTTTTTCCAATCGCCCCAAAAGAAGTATAACTTTAAAAATTGAGAAGAATAGCATAACAGCGTAGTTCTTGAAGTGTTATTTACATATCATGTTTTGTGTTTGCGAAAACATGTTGTATGTTTACGAAAACACTATAGAAAGTGATCTGAAAATATGTCTCGCAGCCAAAAATTTTCTGATAATGCAATATAAGCTCTAGATTTAAATAGGTATGTATATGTTGAAATGTGCGAATAGTCCTGAAATTAAACGCGCTATTAAAAGTTATGCTATGAATATTATTACTTAACATATGTTCTTTTTTTATCCTTTAAACGAGCAATTCTTGTATATATATAATCGGAATTTCGGAAACGGCTCCAGCGATTCTCATGAAATTTAGTATGTGCGTAGATTCGGGGGTCAATTTTTAGAAAATGACCTTTTATCCCTCTTTTCAGGGAATGAAAAATATCATTCGAATATGACGGTAAATTTCGCCGCAAAATCAAAATGTTATAATAGCTCGGTCGGTAATCGGGCGGCCTCAAAACAGACGGCCGTGGTTCGAGTCACGATCATTTACACACTCCTTTTTTTTTACTTTTTTTTCGATTCCAGATCGTTGCTTTCTTTTTTTTTATTTTTTGTTGATCCAGGTGATTTTGTTCTTTTTTCCCTTTTTTTTAAAGTTGTTTCTTTTGTGAAAAACACCACTTCATATTTTCTTATCATTAGGTCGGTAAGATTGAAAAATGTTATGCATATTTCGTTATTCAGTAATTTGTATATAAATGTAATTTTCAAAATACACGATTTACAAAAAAAAAACACAGACAACAAATTATACATTAAATCCAACCGAAACCCGCTCAAGAATCTTAAATTATTACACGAATGTTTATCAGAAATTCCTACGAATCTGTACATCTTGAATGCTCTTACAATGTATGAGCATTATTAACTTTTACGATTGGGTAGAACTTGTAGAGCGTTATGTATCGCTGATTTTTATGAATCATACAGATATTTTAATAATTAAATTAATTAATAATTGTATTATTTACATTAATTTATCAAAACAACATTTCATTAAAAGAAAAGGGAACGAGGGGTCTCTAGTAATAAAAGTCTTTTAATAAGACTATTAATAAATTCTTAATTTACCTTTATTGAATGATGTTTTTGCTTTCAGTCCGTAGACTATTAAATCTTTAGCGAACGATGTCGTCAGATAGCAAGATCCCATGAGCTTAACACTGCCCTCCGCGTATGGATGGAGCCGCACATTAGTACATGCGTGCAATATCTATGGGGAGAAAATCACATACGTACTACCGAGGTTCGATACGGCCCGCGATGGCTGCTGACAACCAATGACCTGAAATCCGTATAGGCGTTTAGGACGGACAAAAGACCTTCAAGACCGTACGCAAGCCTTCACCGACCTGGTTGAGGAAGGGGACTAAAGTACATTGGACCAATGTCGGGGCCGGACGTACAAGTAACACTACACACTACGCGTAAACTAGTAAACACCCGCGTTCCAGGCAATTCTCGCCGCACCCAGCCATCGACTAACCAAGCAAAGTCAACGGCCTTCGGAGTCACGATCCGCACCGAACCTAGATGGCCCGTAGGCGACATGCCATAATAAACGCACACATGAGTACATGCGCGGCCTTACCCACGGAGGAGGGCCTCAAACTCAAGCTGTTATAGTCTGAGAACTGAAAGCGTAACATCAGTTATAAACAATAACAACTCAAGCCTTATATAACAACAGCTTACGCCTAAAAGGCATTTTGCTTGATGGGTTTATTAGGTTATAGTATTGGTTGGATACGAACGCGGCCCTATTCCTAACGTTTTCAATTTTACTTTAATGTAAAGGACATGCGAGCTCGAGTGTGTGGGGGTTTACAGTCAGATGTGGGGTTAAGTGCACTACTACGGTCTTTTCGGAGTTAGGGTAAGATTTTCCATTTACGAAAACCACTAATTTGAGGCGTCCACTTCTCTACACCCGCTGTTGTCATTATACTAAAAGAAAAAATAAGCACATGGTCATAAGTTCTCTCACATCTATTTAGTGAAATAATTGAGACAGTGTTTAACTTACTAAAATATAGACTCTTATGCTAACTAAGATAATTCAAAATGTCCTCCGCGATTTTGATTAATACAAACTTTTTTATACCTCCGTGGTCAGTCGCCTATAGCGGCAAGAACGTGTTCCATATAAATGTCTGCGGATGCTTTGATCAAGGATGCACGGATTGCCAGTCAGAAAGAAAGAGGGCGCGAGTCAGGAAGAAAGAGGAAGGTGAGGCTTTGACTACATAATTTAAGTCTGGACTGGCGGAGGACCAATCTTTGTGTCGGATGAAGTCAATTTCAGGTGCCGGCAGCCAATTTTGGGTGCTTTCCGCTATGATATGAGTTGGCGCAGAATCTTACAAAGATATATCTCAGTAAAGCTCGAATATGAAACACCCAGCAAAACGACGAAAATGGCCTCGCTGGATGCGCAGAATACTCGCTTCTGAGCATTTTGTGGGCGTACACTTTATCATTTTGTTTATTGTAGCTCTTCTCCAAAAAAAAATTTCATAGTGTTTCAATCAAAGGAGGGACTCACTTTAGTCTGACCTGAACCATTCTCTGAATTGTTCTCTCTGTATCAATTCAAAGAGTTTAACCATAGTATGTATTGTCATTTGTAGTTTTCACTATAAATTTAATTACATTACGTCAAGCGTACAGTAATAAACCAATGAAATCGCATTGGGCTATATCAAATCTGTGGGTGTTAAATGCTCTAACATAAACATAAGAACATGAAAAGAATTAAAAAAAAAATACAATAGAAATTAATTTTACATTAAGCGTTAGCTCGATTTTACAATCATCAATTTATTCTTAATGGTTACTGTTTTTTATACATATATTTTCCAAAGTATTCCAACGCCGGAATTATTTTGATAACTTCAATCAATCTCTCAGATAAGTGTAGTTACGAGGGGCAATGAAAGATTTCGTGGAGTAGCAAGGAAAGAAATCGAAAATAAATTTAAATTTATTTTTCCTTTTCAATATACATTCCCTTAACTCTAATACATCTTTACGAGCTCTCAAATGATTTGTTTAAACCATCGAAAAAAATGTTTTGTCGAGACGTTCAAAATAGGCCGAAATCACCGACTTCACATGTTCGTCGTTGGTAAACATTTATCTTCGAACTTCTCTTTTCATTTTCGGGAACAAATAATTATCTCGTTCAAAATTTTGAAGCCATACTAGTTAATTGTAGGGTGACCATCACAACGTGGCTCTTGGGAAGTGACGCGTTGTCGCTCAAAAGAACCACGCCTGGAGTCCTTTTCCCCCTTCTATTTTCCTTGATGGAATTTTTTTAGTAAGTTAGCGTTATATTTTCCTATTATAGTGATGTTGAGGCCTTTTTCTTTGTAATCTATTACCAAATTCCGGCCGAGTGCGATACTTTGAACGTTTAAGGCGGGAGTGTGCCTTTTTTATACCACTGCATTGTATCAAGCACATAGTTATAAACCCACGTTCTTTAAATCATCCGCGGTTTTCACTACAGAGTTCCAAAAACGTCTGCGAGCACCCAACGCGTTGTTGCTTTTGAAGCGGTGAGAGCATTCTCCGCACCAATTTTTCGCTGACCTTTGTCGATATGTCAATATGATCATGTAGAATGCTCAAAATGGTATTAGATGATACTTCAACCATTTCTTGTAATTGCTTCTTCTTAAAACGAGCATTACATCTACTATTTCATCGTCTTCAATGGACTTTTTGCCTTTATTGAATAGGCCATATCGTTTTACTCAGCTTAATAGGGCACTTTCTGACAGCGCGAAAATTAATTTTCTGTAGAGTTGACATCGGCCGCTTAGCTTAGTTCGTAAAGCGCCAGGGCACGAAACCAGAAGACGTAGGTATGAATCTTGTGCCGCCGAAAGTTTTTGTCCTCTACCTACAAAATTGTAATATTTGTAATAATATAATGTAAAATCAATTGAATAATTTAATTTCGGTGTGTTGATTGATTTCGTTCGTTATTGTATGTTTACAACACCTAGCGGTTTGTGTTAGAAGCGTTGCTATTGGCAACGAATAAAAAAGTGGACCCCTTTTACCTCACACAAAGGATGAATAACGAAAGTATAATACTGGAAGTATTCTTCACGCCCGTCTACTTCGAAGCCGAGAGCAAAACGAGCCCGCAAAATCCCTTTGAGGTTAAATTTGAAAAATGTCATTTAATAAGAAACCAAGAAGTAATTTCTTATTAAAATCCAAATTTTAATAGTTCTAAATATTCTATTTTTTTACATAATATACTGAATTGAACATTATTTCTTTTAATTTCAGCCCTGACAGTCCGGTTTCTCACCAAGCGCTACATTGGAGAATACGATCATCAGCAAGGTCGCGTATTATTTTTATAATTTTATTTGTAATAAAATACAACATTATGATATCCAGACTCTAATGGCAATTGTACGTTATGAGACAGTTCATTGACTTTTTGATCACATTTATATCATAGATATAAAAGTAATCAAAATTGTTTATTCGGTGAAAATTTTTGGCACTACCGATAAAAACAATATGCACCAAAATAAAATGATTTTTTGATGTAAACCCCAGACAAAAAAAACTTTAAAAAGTAAAAAAAACAGCACCGGAGCTGTGACAGAAACCAAGCCAACTGTGCAACATACAGTTGCTTGGTTTTTGTCACGTATTTGCTTGGATGTCTAATGTTACAATGATACTGTTCTTATGAGCCCAAACACTGTATATCTGCTGTAAGTTTCTGGGGAATTGAGCATACCGCAGACTATTTGATGCTAGAGCATCAGCTCAAGGTTAGCAAACTTAGAAATCACGCCGAAGTAACGTGACAGTACACCAAATTTCAAATCATGTGAAAGTTAAGATACTTGTTACAATTTTTAAAAAGATCGACCTTAATAAAATATACAAATTGGAAATAAGCTGATGATTATCCAAACGCTTGAATAGATCTTCATAAATTATAGTTAAAAACCATTTCCATCATGTTGGATTCCAAAAAAAACATCCATTAATCGGTCGTTTAGAATATATTTAGAAGGTGGGTACGATGCCACAAACAGACACATAGACACATACACAGACAGATATGTCAAACTTACAACCCCTCTTCTTACGTCGGGGGTGAAAAACTATGGACTGTCTCTTGATGATTTGATTATGTCTCTTGATGATTGTTTTGTAACTTATAAAATTAAGAAAGCTATAATTATCTGCTTCATTTTTAATTCTATATGTACCAATCATCGCAGTTATGATGGGTTAAACTTACTGTAGATATTAAGAATAATAGTAGCTAAGGGAAATTTTAATATTTAATAGTGTCTAATAACTATTCTTTCTTTCAGATAGTAAATACAAGCACGAAGCTCTTCTTGATGGCGAACCAATATTATTTGAGATATTAGACACATGTCCAAAGGTAACCTTTCGAAAAAATTGATTGTTATTGAATTGTTTTGAACTATTTACCGCAAAAGCAGATAAAAATCAAATTTTAATAGCAGTTTTATCACAATATAAATTAAATACAATATCTTTAAATTTAACATAGGTGGATAAAAAGTAATAAAACTTTTAATTACTATGTGACTCTAATGTAATGCTTTACAATTTAAGTACAGTCTATTGCTAAATACAATATTCATGGTTAATAGCGGACTGCATTCTTTCTTTTATAATATTATGTAATAATTTGCTAATATTGTAATGTTTCAGAGTATAGAAGAATTGCCCGGCAACGAAATAGCTCAGTGGGCTGATGGCCTTTTCCTAGTGTACTCGATCACCGACCGCGATTCCTTCAATTACGTGAGACGAGCTAAGCAGAGTCTGCAACCCGACGTACCACTGACTCTAGTGGGCAATAAGGCCGATATGGTTCATTTAAGACAGGTTCGCAGTTGCACTTAAGAAAGCATTAATAAGGCCAGCTTGTATAAAATCATACATTACAACATAAAGAAAAACGTTTCTTAATCCACTTATTACTGTTACGAACTATTGGTAGAGCTTCTAAACTTCAGAATCTAAAGTCACAAGCGTCATCTCTGTTCCACGTCCTTGACATTCGACCCCACTGCCTTAAATGTCGAATCAACGTGAGCCCCACAATTTCTGCCATGTCATCAATTCTATAATAAACTATTCTGTTTATAAAATAACGAAATAATAATAATCGCTCCAATATAATTGAAACACTAGCTTCAAAGCTTTGCAAATTAGCTCATTGATGTTCCACTCAATTGTTACAAGTTCTATGCAACAAATGAGAAGTCGCTTTACAACTTATAAGTCACAATCTTTCCAATTTCAGGTTAGTCCAGAGGAGGGTGAGATTTTAGCGAAAGATTTTGAGTGCAGTTTCGCGGAAGTAGCTGCTGCGGAACAAGTGAACCAAGTTGGGGAGGTGTTCCATGAACTTTGCCGTGAGGTGTTAGCGCTAAGGAGGCGGGCGAAGCACAGTCTACTCGACAGAATGCTGGGATCAAAGAGCGCCTACAGAGTCTATTCCAGGGGAAAAAGTGACAGCGCTTTACCCAAAGACTAATAAAGAGCGTGTAATGTGCATTTAGTCACTTAAAAATTACCTAATCGAATGGAAAGTTCATTGTTGTTGAAGAGCCGTGATGTCCTTATAAATGATAACTGTTTATAGACACATTCATCATAAATCATAGGAGTAAATCCGACTGTTTAATTTTGTTAAAATAGGAAATATATGTATAATTTATGGAATTTTTCATTTAATGTAGTCAAAACTGGTTGTAACAAATTTTTATTGTACGTTTGACTCTACGTCAAAAATGAGTTCCGTTAAAGGAGAGTTTATTGGAACTAACTTTGACAAGGTTTTTAAATTTAAATGATTGTAAATTTTGATAGACAATTTAGTTTCCCGCCCGTTATTGGTAATTTAAAAAATAAATCATATGCTCTCTTCGACAATAATTTTTAAATACGTAATTTCTCATGTCGATTGCAGATATATTCATTGGGCTATTGGCTTCTTAAATCCTCGATGATATATATGATATAATGATACTCTTTACAGCAACTAGCCATGCCATGTTTGTATTTTGATTTTCAGTGTTCTATGAGCGTCACAATGTTACTGGTGAGCAGTTTGTGAAACAAGTATTACAGTGGTAAAATTGATATCATTATATGACATAATCAGCGTATTGCATCATCATCATCAGCCACAAGACGTCCACTGTTGAACATTGTCCTCCCCTTTAGACCGCCACAACGAACGACACTGGCATTTGCATCCACCGATTGCCCAATTCAAATCAATTGATTTGATAACTGATGAAAAACATATAGAATTTAAATTGTTGCATTATTTTGTTATGAAATGTTATAATAAAGATTTGTACCATGGTTTAGTCAATACCATCCCCCCACGAATAACATTGAAGATCCTAAGCTGTAAACCAGATTTTGTATCGCAGATAAATCGAATTTATTGTTTAACATAATTTTGTAATATAACGAAAGAAAAATGTTAATATTTATTATAATGAGTAAACAATAAAATGTTGTACTTATGACGTGTTTTATTCATTTTCTTGATGCTTATATATTTCAATCAAATGAAAAGAAAAATAAACAATAGTGTCAGTGACAGACAGAGAAATAATGAGCTGCGATTAAAAAACGACTAGTCTGTCATAAAGGCAACCCCCAGAGTCAGACGCATAAAGGGTAATCTGTACAAAGTGGCCCTAAATTAAAATAAAGACGCCTCCCTACGCAACAGGGGTGCTAAAGCCGCGTGCGCCAATCAAATCACAGCTTTTGCAGTACGTCACACGGTTGACAGTTGTCGTATTATCAGATTTAAAGATGGCACCGCAATTCTATCTCGACTAATATATTTTCATTCTCTTCTGCATGGTCTTATGTTGTAAAAAAAAATCTTACTGTAACTGAGTATTTTTAAGGTTTCACTTATTAAAATTTACTTAAATTTAATACATTATGCGCCGTATAGAAGACCTACGAGGATTGCTAAAAATATTTAATATTAAAATACTTAGGTGCCACCACAACTGTATTTTTTTATATGTAACAGTGCTAAATCCGATACAGATTTCGAAGCCGTCAAAAGGCATCGTCAACAAGATTATCAATTTTGCTCGCGAAGAGATGGGGCGGGCAACGTATCGCACTCACCCCACTCCCCTACAGCCCCTGTATGGATGCGCGTGCGTCACTCTGCCATCAACCACCTCTGACGTAAACACTGACTCCCAACCACCAGTTCACAAATAAAAAAAGTAACAGTGCCAAAGTTAATAAGTTAAGTGACATTAATTAACATTTGTTTACATGTGAGTAACTGAACTTCATTTTATTATGTTTAATACTAGCAATTTAAAAAGCCTTGCGAGTGTATTTAATATTTGCGAATTTTCACATAATCAATGTAATATTTGTACTTTGTTTATATAAAATAATTTATTGTAAAAGACAATGCCAGGCAATAAGTATATAAAAAAAATCATACCGGTAATTATTTCTCTGTTTTTGAGCATAAAATGATATTGACTAAATTGAACTCGTGCAAATTTTGTTCACGTTGTTATTTTCAATAATATACTATACGACGACTTCAAATTGACTCATTTAATTATCTACTTTCAAAAATTCGAGTGAATGATTCTACTGTTAATTAAGTTTCCAATAACGTTTTTCGATCTTTAAACTTCTAACACAAAGTTACAAAGAAATACTAAATCTTAAACGAAATTAATAATAATTTAAAAGCTAAAATATCTAAAATCTTTCGTACTTAATTCAAATGGAATGGATTATTAATAAATCTATAACTATTCCTATATCCAAAAAATAATCTTTAATCTTGACTGAATTTGCTGAAAGTACGCTGCAAAATTAATCGGTTATACTTAAATTTCATGGTTTTTATTATTGTAAGCCACGTTCCGTCGGACGTTTTAAATGGATCGTCTGGTTATGGAAGACTTTAGGAAAACCGTATTTTTCGGCCCCAAGTAACTGCGGTAGGTTTAAAATCCGCTGTGGTATCGAGTTTGTAAGACGAGCATGCGGGTATTAAGAGCACTAAACTTTCAAAGCTTGCGCAATGAAAGTACAAGTTAAACATTTGCGAAATTATTTTTTTTTATTTATCTTCATTTATTTAATATCAAGATAGAAGATGTATGAATATATATGTACATGTATGTATGTGTATATGCGAAATTGCACGTTGAATGTTTATTAGTCGCTTCATAACATTTTTACAGTAAGTGATATGTTTATGTAAAGGTGTTTTCCTTGTACCTTACTCTCTAAGGGAGGATTATGTACGTTTTATCTTTTGCATGAGAGATCTATATTTTGTACATATTTTCTTTTTGGTTTAGTACATTGATGAGAGTTAGGAATATAAAATTAGTCTGTAACAACCATACGGCATGCCTTCATATTTATTGTTTAATATTAGAATAACTAATTATCACTTTCGAAGCCCCGAAGAAGGGCAAATACAATAACACTCAAAAAAGTGTTGTACTTATGTACGCAGCTAAGAAGTTATTCTTCTTTAGCGTATCAAAAGAAAAGTAACTAAAAATTTTATCTCCTGTGCCAGTACTCTTTGTTTGTGTAAATAACATTAAATTTAATAGATAACGGTTTAATTAAAAAATTGGAATTATAGGTAAATGTCAAAAAATTTGGTCGCTTTGCAAGCAAATTCATCATGTCGCTGTCTGTGTGCGCGCACGTCCGAAAAACTTTTATTTCACGTTTTTTTCCAAAGTATAAAGTAAAAAATATTTTAATAAATTGTATGCCCTAGATAAATCGGTACTAGCATCAAACAGCAATTAAAAATACGTAGAAGTTGATGTAATGTAGTCTTGAATGACGATGAAATGGCATTTTATTGAAATTTTCTTTATATTTCCAAAATTTGTTCGAATAAATATTTGAAAAACTTAAAATGAAATTGAAAGAATATTGCATTCAATGAAACATAAGTGGATAAATCCTTATATATATATATAAGCTAACAGTGTTAAATTATCACTTAATTCAATAGAATAAAAATAAAAAAAATTAAAAAATAAAATTATAAATCGGACAACCAAACTTTTTATTTATAAACTTGATCATTGCTTAAGTAAGGAAATAAACGGAGGAAGGAAATAACGGAATTTTAAGTACACAGAAAAATTTAGAAATACAACTCAATACAAAAAATTGTAATAAATTAAAATATGAAACAATATTCAGTAATGATTACCTATTTTATACCTTTTCGAAATTACAATGTTATTTGTCGATTATCGATGTTATTATTTTAATATTCGTCGAAATATCACTAGATTGTATCGAGCAGTGTCAATTCTATTTTAATTGTAATCAAATAAAATGAAAAATGTTTTTCTCACCATTCATTATTTAACATTGATTTAATTATATGTATTAAGATAAATTTTTATTACCATTATCCCCAATTTTGGATTAATTATTAGGATCTCTATCTATACTTATTACCCTTTATCAGTTCAGAATGTACTACTTATTATGTTTATCAAAGCCATAACTTATTTAGTGCATCGTGATATAAAAAAAAATAATTTAAATAGTCAATAGAATAAAACATAAGTCGCTTCGAAACTAAATAGGCAGATAGCGCGATCAATTAATTAATTTTAAAATATATACAATGAATTCAATATACTTACGACATTCAAATCCGAATCGAGGCTGACGGACAAACGTAAACGAGTCGTAATGAACAACTTAGACTCCCGAGCTTTTTCGAGCGCATGTATGTATGTATGTATGTATGTATAATTGTTTGGTACTGCAGCCTGAACGACTTGATGGATTTTAGCTTCAGTGGTGACGTTAGATTCGTATTTACTGTGAGAGTGCCACTTGGTATATCAGAATCATTTCCAAATTACACAGAAACGCTGTCAGGTTTTTTAGTTTTTTAAATTATATTCTATTTGTCAAGTTATTCATTCCTTCATATACTCTATACATACATATAATTACAGTAAGGCATCCATTTAGCTATGATTAGGTGATTTGGCATAAATGTTGTAATTTTTTATAAATTAAATTTCAGCCTGGCATAATCAAAGTACGTTTTTTTACCGCCCATCGATGGCACTGTAATAGACAATAATAATTGAATAAATAAATGATTGTAAACTGCAGCTTCTGAATGTTCTTTCCCGTACGTATCTACGTATATCCCTTATAAGCGCAGACATAGATATGTCGTTATAATCATACGTAAAAATAATATAATAGAATAGATATAGAAAATTATTTGAAACTTAAGTTTATCTCGTTTAAAAAAACTCTTCTAAATTTAGGGCATTTCTTATACCATTAAATAAAATTGAAAATGAAATCAAATCGAAGACGCCTATGTTAATGCCTTATAATTAATTTTCACTTACTTGTGAAGTCGTTAAAGTTTACTTTATTAATGTTCTCCGGTCACGCTTATTGAAAGTTAATTTTGTTTCTTTAACTTCGTTACAAGAAGTTTTCATGTAGAACATTATGAAAATATTACTACTGCTTTATGAAAGTATTGAAATCGATGAAGACGTGTTAAGGTCGGTATTTGTGCATTGTTTTTAATTATTATGATATATTGTATTTTGTTTTAAATCAACAAGTAAGTAAATCTAGTAATTACTGATCATCATTAAGATCAGTGAAAATAGAAATGTTGTTTGTTATTATAACAGCTGTTTTCAAGGTATTTACGAGCACAAAGGCAGCCAGCATAACGCAGGCGTAAAAAAACGCTATTAAAGTCCAGTCAAATCCACGGAAAATATACTCCATACAATCAGTAACTTTTTGCAGCATCCCGATTCTGAAAGCAAGAAGCTACCGACTTTCCGATGTTATTATTGGAGTCGCTTTTGTTGGTAACCCTCCGATGCGCACCGGGCCGAGCCCATACGACCCGATGCGGCTTATCCCCGCCATTGTCCCTACGTCCTTACCCGGATTATCCCTGTCTAATTACCTGTTTTGCGAAACTGCAATTATAGCGAGAAATATGCAACATCAGAGCCTGAGTACCGACGGCAAACAAAACGGCGAGGATTACCGCTACCGACGATTTTTTGATAACGCTGACGCAAATTTTTGTTGTCTTCGAATAAACGTGACGATTAATCCGTTTCACTTGTTTCCTGCCAAACAAATGTCCTTATGAAATTCGCAATCTTTACTAGAGTCATTTCATTATTATTAAACATTTTAAATTAATGAATTACTTCATGGTCTAGTGGACGTTTTAAGAATAAGAGAATTAATAAATAGCTTTTCGCCTGATGGTATAGAAAACTATAGAAATTGCTTGTATAATGCATACTAATAGGCACGATGGGAAAATGGCAAATAATTGTGAAGAATTTATTGTTAACCACTCGATACTGGCTACGTACTTGACGCAACAACCGTTTAGTGTAACAAGTAGCCATTAGAACAATGAGAATAATGAACAAATATACAAGTGGCACTCAGCTTTATAGCGAAAAGATGTCAGCGCTGTGGACCTCTGAACAATGGCGCATTATTTCTTACATTTGTTGCAATTATTCTTGTTTGGTTCCTTTCTGTTTCCTTTAGCGGTGTTTGAGTCTTGAGTGTCCTCGAGAACCGCAAAGGACAGTGTTACACTCGAGGGTCCAATTCGCACGGCGTTGAGTGTGTGAAATTTCATCAGCTTACTATTACCGCTACAGGCCTTAAATTTTTTTTTGTATATTTATTATTCTAATACCAGCAACATAATAATATAAGCAACTAAATGTAAATATTTCGTTTTTCAACGATATTAATGATGATATATAAAATTGATAACATTTTTAATGACTCGAATCGAATCGAATTAAACGAAATCGAATAGTGTAATCTAAGTGACAGACGAAAATAGAACATTTTGTATTTGTATTCTATATTTCTCGCTTCAAACATTTATATTTTCACCATTCGTATCTTTTCTTCTTAATAATGCATGTGTACAATAAATTTTATGGCAACTTATTGTTGGTTGCAGGTAATATGAAGATATAGGTAAATCGAATTCGATAATGGAAATGCAATCTATGCCCACGTCCTCAAGTAAGTGATACATTTTATTTTGGCAGCATCATCCACAAATACATTTCAGTTACATGACAGTATTACACACTAAGTATATAAAGGGCTTCAAGGAAACATTTTGTGTAAAAATCTCCGATCAATCTGTGGGTATGAAAAAAAAAAATAGTATAAAAATATTTGTGGTAACTCTTAAAGATACGGAAGCAGCGATTGATCCCGCTTAGAATACACCTATTAGAAACAAACAAGGTGAGGACTGTTAGTCGTTTGTTTGCAATGATATTATAATTATATAAATACGAAGTAGATATGACACTAGCACACAGAAAATGATGCACTCAAATTACCATTTGGTGTAATTAGATTGCAATTCTATAGACTGCTAATCTCTATCCGTGTCATATGTGCTACATCATCCGTCACGTTCACTTATATAATATTTTATATTCTGTAAAGCGGAACAATTTTTAACCGCCGCGCTGTATGGACATGCGTTATCGATATTATTAAACATCATTGCATGTTTGACTAATAATCGAAACTAACGTAGTTCGAGATGACGTGTACTGACTAATTTCGCATCAGCGGCATTCCCACGCGCGGGTGCCGCATCTGCCTTCCTCCTAACCCCTAAAGGGCCGTGAATTGCCCTGATAACGATATCCATCACTTGTTTACATCAATTACGTCGAAATTTAAAAGGCTTTCTCATCATCGTTTTTTAAACGACGGGTCATTCGTCAATGACAGACCATATTAGAATAGAATTGAAACCTTTTACGCATGTCGATTTAACATGGAATAGAAAGACATTTATAATATAATTTGCACACTATTATGCAATTACACTTACGTAGTTATAGTGTCTTCGAGATACTGTCATGGTTTCCGAGTTTAGATACTTATTGAATTTCTATGAAAATCTTTATTTGCTTTAATGTGGAATGTAAACACAATAATTTGTAATGTCTTGTCTTAAATAAAGGTTGAAGTATCAAATATGAAATATGAACTAAATTTTAGGTCGCAATGAATGTTTTAACAGTCGTCACATTCATTCAATTTTAAATGAAATGTTCAATGCATGTGCCAATTGATATTGGGTCGGATTCGTTCGTTGGGCGTTAGTTTCACGTCATGTCGTGATGCACGAGGTCACAGGTGATGGCTCCCACGCACAATGGAGGGTTGATAACCATCGCTAACAAGGGAGCATCATCAAAATCTATTTGCTATTAATTACAGCATTAACGACAAAAATGAATGTGAAACTCGAGGGCAGTTAATTCAACTTTAAAACTTGAAGTACCCGGAGGACCGAGCTTTGCTCGGTTTGTTTTTTTTTGGTAAATCGTGTATTTTGGAAATTACATTTAGATACAAATTACTGAGTAATTAAATATGCATAATATTTTTCGATCTTACCGACGTAATAATAAGAAAATATGAACTGATGTTTTTCACAAAAGAAAGAACTTTAAAAAAAAGGGAAAAAAATAACAAAATAACAAATTGACAAGAAATTAAAAATAAAGAGAGCAATGAAATCTGGTATCGAAAAAAAGTAAAAAAATAAATGTGTAAATGATCGTGACGCGAACCACGGCCGTCAATTTTGGGGCCGCCCGATTACCGACCGAGCTATTATGACATTTTGTCTTGCGGCGAAATTTACCGTCATATTCGAATTATATTTTTCATTCCCTGAAAACAGGGATAAAAGGGCATTTTTTAAAAATGAAACCTAGCTAGATCGATTTTTCGCCCCCGAATCTACGCAAATACTAAATTTCATGAAAGTCGCTGGAGCCGTTTCCGAGATTCCGATTATATATATATATATATATACAAGAATTGCTCGTTTAAAGGATAAGATATATCTGAGGGAAAAAGTCAATACACACGATTGTACGGATACATTGTTAGGCTGGCTGTTGGTTATAGCTCTTTTGAATTATTATTAAAGGCATTTAATTAATTTATTTCTATTCTTATATTTCATTCACTTCATTCTAAATTTAAGTCTCGTCCGCCAACCTTATTGCTAGAAAACGTAGTAAAACACATATAAACAGTCTTTGTGCGACCTACATTGTACAGTTAATAAAGCAAAAAAATATTAATATTTAGTGAGCTTCAACGTCTAATTTCTCATTTTGGTTTAAATTTAAACTTGTTTGCAAAACATAATGGCAAACAAAGTTTTAATTGACACATGTTGACTGTGTCATGGTTATGCCTCAAAGCAGACAAGTGTTGAATTAAATTTGTAAAATCCGCGTAAACTTGAGTACTTTTCTATAACTTTCAAATGTACAATTTTTAGGATTTTAATTTTACCACGCCAAATTCCAGACAAGTTAGTTTTATAACATAATTCATTATACGCTCATATTACATGATTGCTTTATTACAAAAAGTAACCGCGCACATACATAGTCGGGAGGATCCCTATTTAAAATTATGTACGCGACCTGTCATTATCTTGCGTCAATGGTCGTTTTTATTTAGCCGTCCTAAATTGTTCCCAAGCTCCACTTCTTGGCTTTTGTGCTTCACATTGTCTATAGTCGGCAGTTTTGTGAATCTTTTTTTATAATCCTACATTCGACACCGCGTTTCCTGCCCTGCAAGTGTACGCATTCACGTGTAGTGTATTATTCGAGATCTCTTATTGAATGGAAGTGCCTCGGTGCCTTTTCGACTAAAGTCTTGTTTGGAGGTGTATTAATAAAGGCGCATTATCTTTGGGGCCACCGTTGCTGAACGATGTGCTGCCGTGGGACCGCGTTCGTGCCAAACGATAAACCGTTGACGGTGAATTGGCTTGGGGGAGTTCGAGTCTCCTTTTTCTTCATACCTCTCTAGATGAAATTTGCTTTGTGCCAGAATACACTGCTTTTATTTAAGTTGAACGTTAAGAAGAGGAATGTCTAATAAGACAGAATACAATATAATAATATAACGTTTGTAGTCTTAATCCATCAACTGGAAAGATTACAAACTTTATATAATTTATCCTATGAAGCGTCTAACTAACTCCAAAGCTTGTTTATAACCACGGGCGGCTACATGATAGAGCTTCACACAAGCTTTTTAACAGAGGTATTAAGACTGCCGAGGTATTAAGACTGAGAGTTTAACTATTAAAATTTTGGTTCATCAAAACTTTATTTATGAAACGATAGTAGAAATAAAAATAAGAATAGTTTAATCATAAAAGGATGTCTGTTGTTGATTAGTTCTGTATTAGACGGCCTCAGGCGGTCCCACCCTGGGTAGGGCGGAGCTTAACGCTCCCTCCAACCTATGCTCTTTTGAACGACCATTGTACCCCAAATTATATCACCACGACCATTTATTGACTTTGATTTATGACCGTTTCCCATTCTATACTATTAGCAAAACTTCGATTTGATATAACGTTACAAAACTATTTTCATAACCACAATATGTATCGGTACGCTACGCCTTTCAAGCGCTTTTGTACATTTTTACATATAGATTTATATTGTCAAGCCATTATAATGTCAAGCTATTGTTAATAATTAGAAATATATTAAAATATCGGTAATAACGTAAGAAAATACAATGCATATCCGGTAATTAGAATTTATTATCCAAAACTTTTTTCTATTTGAAATTGAAGTGTCTTGACTTCTCCAGATTTCAAGGTTCACTATTTAATGATATTAATGTGGGCCACCTGGGAGGTAAACCTCCCAGGTGGCTCCCGAACCCATTAAAAAATAACTTTTCAAATCAGTTACTAAATGATGGAAATTCAAAAGTAACAAAGGTAGGGAATAAAAGAATTCAAAGGTTACAAACATACATAAAAAAACACAACCGAATTGAGATCCTTCTCCTTAAGAGTCGGTTGAAAATTAATTATATCCCTACCCGTCAAAGGTGTTTAAACCGATACCCCAATAAACTACAATGATACGAGGAGCATTCTTAAGAAAATACGCGAATAAATAACACAAGTCCAATTTTGCCTAGTGGAACACAAGTAGAAACCAAAAACAAGTCTCTAAAATAAAAGAGGTTTTGTTTTAAACTGCGAAATTTATAATTAAATATTATAGTTTAAAATAGAATACCAATATTATAATTAAAGTTGTATATGTTCCAATAACTTGGTTAAAATTAGATGTGTCAATAAAATTTATAGAAAAAACATATTACATTGATCTGATTATCCTGTTATGTGTGTGCTGATGATGTAGGTGGAATTCGAGTGATTCAGTTATATTCGTATAACGAAACATGAGCTTTACAATTGTGAGCTTAACAAGTGTCACGTGATATTGCCTAATATATGTTATTGCCCGTCAGGCCGTATACTTTACGATGTGCCGTGCGCCGTGTGTCGAGACCACTCTTCGGGGAAGCACTACGGGGTGTTCGCTTGCGACGGCTGCGCAGGTTTCTTCAAGCGATCTGTGCGAAGGGACAGGCGCTATGCTTGCAAGGCTAGAAGCCCCGGTGCTTGCCTCGTTGACAAGGCCCATAGGAATCAGTGCCGCGCCTGTCGCCTCGCTAAATGCTTGGATGCGGGAATGAATAAGGACGGTGAGTTCATACAGGAAGTCCAGCGATAATAGGAATAGGATTAAAGGGCTCTTTAACTATCACCACGTAATTCTCAGTGGGCGGTCAACAATGGATTGCAGTCTTATACTCTCCGTTTTGCTAAAAGTCGGGATTTTGCTTAAAGTTGGAGAAATATTTTACTGAAGATGTAATCTTTTTCAGCCGTTCAGCATGAAAGAGGTCCACGCAACTCGACAATCCGTAGGCAGATGGCGCTGTTCTTGAAAGATCCCACAGCTTCATCATCAGATGTAAACCTGCCGCTCCCGCCAGTGCTGGACTTGGCAATGCCCAAGCATAATATGTTACCACCTCCACCCTTGGGATTATTTCATAACCCATACCATGCTTATCACCGAATCAACTTGCTATCAGCACCTTTAACGCCCTGTCTCCCCAAAGCTCCGTCACCGCCGCCGATTACGGCCTCCCTTCTTAGTCCAGCCGAACCCGAAGCAATGTGCGAAGCGGCTGCACGTCTCCTGTTTATGAATGTGAAGTGGGCAAAGAATGTTCCAGCGTTCACTTCCCTGTCACTTTCGGATAGACTACTCCTGTTAGAAGAAACATGGAGGGACCTATTCGTTATTGGTACCTCACAATTTCTTTATCCCTTAGACCTAAAGATCTTATACGATGGAAAGAATCAAAGAATAGATGTGAAAGACATCGAAGAATTTAATATTGCTTTAGCTGAATTGGCAAAAGTGCGACCCGATAACAATGAGTTCGCATGCCTTCGAGCGATAGTCCTCTTCAAGACAACAGTCGGGGAGAAAACTAATCTAGGGAGCCCGTCCGCCCCGAGTAGCGAAACTCGGAGGCTTCAAGATTTGCCTGCAGTCGCCACACTACAAGATCATTCTCAAGTAGTTCTTAATGAGGTATCACATTATAAGTAATCGAATATTTTCTATTATATCAGAATAAGCATTAAATTTAAACTAGAGACCGTAAAAAATATAATAAGATTATTTATTTAGATTGAATGAAATTAAAATTAAATGAAATTGTTCATAATACAATTATTTTAACTTGATTACATTTGTTACAATCAGATTTATCTTTCAGTACACGGCCCGAATGTATCCGCACGATTCTTCAAGATCAAGCCAACTTTACCAACTGTTGCCCGTCATTAGGAGAGTATGCAGCGCAACCATAGTGGAACTGTTTTTCCGCGCTACCATCGGCGAGATTCCAATAGAAAGGATAATAAGTGATATGTACAGAACAGGAAAAGACAACATTTGATATTAAATAAATGTCATTCCGTATTATATTGACGTTACAGAAAATAATCTGCATTCTTTGACAAACAAAATATTTTTATTTGTTTAAAATATTAATTGTCATGATATTACAGTCTACCTTTATTTAAGCCTGAAGATGTTTGAAATAACTGAACTGTATATTCGGTTATTTTATTGCTTTCTTCATACAAATGAAACGAGTTATTATATTGTACTATATCAAATAACAGTAAGAATTTTATTTAGTTAGAAAATAAGTTATATTTAGAGACTCTGTGATTGCAAAGTAATTCGCCAAAAATCGTTATAAATTTAGAAATAAATGTATTGTATCGAACGATTGTTTTAAGTTAGATCTGCGTTGTCAGAATCTACGAAAGGATTTTTTTAGTTATAATACTTGTTATGAACATTCCAAACGCATGTGATAATACCAGTTTGATAGTCTGTAATAGGTACTCAGTTCTGGGTTTGCATACCGGGCGATATATATATAACTATATGCAACGTTGTCTTTAACGCTTGTAATAAATATTTTTTTTGTGACGTGTAGTTTGCTATTAGCCCGGCGGCTTTGACAGCTTCAGCGGAAGAGGTCCGCGGGCAGACGACCCAGGGACTCGGGAGAACAACGTAGCTGGTGCACGACGACGACAAGAAAACGCCGTCCACTCCGCTGCACTCCGCAACACCCTGCTAACGAAAGATGGACAATCGACTAACAGGGGGGGGGGGGGGGGGCCACGACACGATCCAAGGGCCCCTCGGATGGAGGTTCGAACCTCGGCTTGGATCGCAATCGATATAGGGACCTACCTAGAGGAAGGAATTAGGTTGAAATTGTGATTTAATCCCGAGACGTATTGGCGTTGCGATATCGCTTATGGATGAATAATTATACAAACAATTATTCATTAGAGCAATTTGTTTACGAGATTTGTTCATCTTTATTAACATGTGTTAACGGTGTTAACAATATTAATAAAAACAATGCATTCACGAAAACATCGTCCAAAAAATAAAGGTTATACAATTAATCACGCAGCAATTACGAGCGCCCATACACTCGTAATTAAATGACAATGACAACACGACGTAATGATTCAAAAACGACCAGGCACACGAGTATATCGCGTGTAGGCCGTGAATCTGGGACCTCGCATTCGCCGTCGATTGCGCTGAGCCATATGTCTGTATGTTAGTGCATTGTGTGTTATGTGACGGACTGCGCGCGGGAGGATCGCGGCGGGTGGCGCCTCGTTAGGCGTTATGCCGACGCGGCTACGTGGCGTCTCGTTGAGCGCCTCTGACCGTGCTATGCTGTTTAGACATAGCGCCGTTGCGTTTTCGGGCGGCGGCTGAATATTAAATATATTAATCGCGCGCGTGAGTGTGTCGTCTGGATCATCTATAACGTTTAGTGGACGGCGTAGTCTCGGATGCACGGTCCGAGGGGGTGCGGGATAGATTCCGAAAGCTTTCACCAACGGATTTGTATCGGGCGTTAATGCTTTTGAAGTGTCTTTTCGACGCTTCTTTAAAGAGGGTGGACAGGGATGTTATATTTAAGTCTCGATGCAAATCGGCATTCCGCACGTACCACGGTGCGCCTGTTGCGTGACGAAGGAATTTGTTTTGAATTATTTGTAATGGCTTTAATCTATTAGGAGGTATATGCGCGAAACAAACACTCGCGTATGTCATAATGGGGCGAATACAGGTCTTATATAAATGTATTTTATGTTTTAGCGAAATTTTACTCGTCGCTCTAGTGAGAGGAGCTAGGCGAAACATCACAAATTTAGCTTTATTGACTACTGCTTGTATGTGTTCTTTGAAGGTGAGGCGGCAGTCTAGAGTGACGTCGAGGTATTTGGCCTTATTTTCCCATGGAATGGGTTGGCCGTATAATTTAACGGGAGTGAGGTTTCTGCCTGATTGGCAATTAAACATGACAGCTTTACTTTTCTCCGGGTTTACCTCGATTCGCCACATTCTGAACCATTCGCCAATGGCGTTTAGTGCAGATTGCAAGCGGGTAATGACCTGGTTTTTGTTGCGGTCGGATGAGAATAATACTGTGTCGTCGGCGTATAAAGCCAACTCGACCTTATGGGTCCTGGGGATGTCACTTGTATATAGCGAGTATAGGGTTGGGCTCAATACTGATCCCTGTGGGGTGCCCGCTCTGAGGGGGCGGGGGCGGGAGAGAGTTCCATCGACTCGGAATTGAAAGCGGCGGTTCGATAAGTAGTCTCGTATGATTTTAACGAGTCGATCTGGCATGCCTAGTGAGTATAGCTTAAAAATTAAGCCGTTATGCCAGACTTTGTCGAACGCCTTCGCGACGTCGAATAAGAGAATTCCTACCCTATTATCATTCCTCATGTATGCTGAACGGCGACTAGCAAGGATGTGCTCCGTGAGGCGGTGCACTTGTAGGACGCTCGAGTGACCGGCTCGAAAACCGACTGTTCGTCGAGTATAATGTTTAGTGAATTAACGCATTTTTTAATCCTTGCTAGGATGATGCGTTCGTATATTTTTCCCGTAGCAGAGAGAAGACTGATTGGGCGGTAGTTCGAAGCCCTGTCTCTGGGCTTGTTTGGTTTAGCGATACCTATGACATGCGCTACCTTCCACGTGTCGGGGAAGGTGCAGCTGTCGAGAAGAACATTAATTATTGCTACTAATAAGCAGATGAGATGGGCAGGGAGTAATTTAATTACTCTATTGGAGATTGCATCTGGGCCGGGCGCGGAACGTTTTTTTAAGGTTTTTGACGATGGTCATGACCTCATCGACCGAAGTATGTTCGAGGGGCGGGTCCGTTGGTGGAGCCGCGGATCTACTTTCCACTTCCGTAATAAATAAATTGATCTCAACCAGCTTCTGATATTAGTGTTAGCCCAATGCCCTACATGTATAAACGAATGGTGAAACTCGCATACCAAAGTTCCGGATTCGATTCTTAACAGCCTTTATTAGGTCTGATATGCATTGCACATGCATATCATATTACGATATTGTGGCATAAATCATGCTAATTACGAGCTTGTATGCTATTGAAAACTCAATTCTAGATTGGTCCAATTTTCATGTAGGAGGGGCCTAAGATTTATTATTGTATCACGGAGTATTCCGTAAAGTATTGTAATGAAAATGTGTTGTAAATAAAAAAGATTAAATCCATTATTAAGTATTTATAATATTTTTGTAACTGGTGCCTGAGACGTGATATCTTTTTATTAATAACTTTACACTAAGAGACCATACCGTACCTACACTATCCAATATTTAGTTTACAAGTGTACTTAAAAAGCATCTATATACCATCACGATTTTTTTTTGAACATCGTAACTTTTATTGCGACCTGAATTGATTTAGTAGCTTTTCATTTTTCATCCTAAAATGAAATAGGCTAAATTTATGCACATTAAGTTTTAGTCATGAAAGATGAATCTCTATTGGTCATAGTTATATATATTGACAATTAATTTTCGCTGTACACTTTGTGTAGATTTAACTTATCTCGCATTTTTTTTTTGTAAATTTTAAACATTTTTGTAATATTTCTATTTAGATATTTAATTACATAAACTCCTTAGAAAATTATTCACAAACTCCATACAATTATGTTGTTATTTGTACAATATTGTAATGTTCATAAATATAATGTAAGAAAATATTTGTACGACTTTTATTAAAAACGGAAATTACTTTAGGTACATCTCTCAAACTGAAATTAACCGAATAAATAAGTAATTCATCACAGGCCGCGTTCCTAAAAATCATAATTTTAATTTGAAATAATAGAATAATCTATATTTTTTTAGACGTAGCCTTTGTCCAGCAGTGGACTATAACAGGCTGAAATGATGATGATATTAATCCTAATCCTGTAGATAACCCTTATAATATTGGTTTTAAATAATTAGGAACAATCAGTAACAATGATTTTGTTTTGACATTGTTAAAAAGTCAACATATTGAACAAGAATAAATATGCATCTGAGGAAAGTTCATGCATTTTGGAATGCCGCTTCAATGACAGTGACCATAGTGTAGTGTTACGTAAAGCTATAAATAAACTCTTTAAATTTAATTTCCTGCAATACCATAACATATTTTAAAGAAAGTATAGTAAACGACTGTTTCCAACACGCTAGCCCCTCTTTTCGTGGCACCAAATTGGATAATATAATATAACCTTTATTCAGTCTCGAAGAGGTAATTAAAATTTTTGAAAATAAGACTTTCATATGTAACATAGTTTCTGCAATAGTTTAATCTTTAACCCGTAGAAAAGTTTTATTTAAAACGAAGATATTCGACTTACGCCCGGTTTCTGAAACACTGATCATCGTAGATTGATCATTCTGATCATTAAGATCATTCTGATCAAATCAGTGAGTTTAACCATCCTTTTGGCAACTTAAATAACATCTGACAGCTGATTAGTTAACTTCTACGATGATTAGTGTTTCAGAAACCGGACGTTATACTCTCCTATGTAAATTATTGCACTCGTTTATGAACTTAAATATACTCTACTGATGTCATTGATAACTAAAATTCACAAAGCTGGTACACTCTTCTCTGGTGACATGTGTGCGCCTCGCCTATATTGTGTCTAAATCCCCGATTAATCTCCACTTTTCTGATCTTTTGTTCACTCCCTTTCAACTGTTTTTTGTGTCGGTCTGATTCGCTCACAATAAGTGCTTATAACGCATTCGAAATTGTGCTTTGGGTAATTGTAATAAGAAAAGATTTTGTGGGTTAGGTAAATGATTTGTTTTTGAACTGTAATTTTGATTTTAATGTTTACGTCATAAAGTTGTTATTTCAATGACAGCTGTTCGTAAAATAGGTTTTCGTATTAACTTCTAAAGTTTATAGTCTTTCGGTCACGTCAATTTGTATTGTCATTTTGACATAATAGCGATGCCATCCCCACGGTTTATTGGTTGAAAACCAATGTAAGCTGCCTCGTG